CAGCTTACAGCTACCTCAAATCTCATTCTTTGAACTAAAGCTGGGTATAAATAAACCAATATACATACACAGAAAAATTAGATGTATGTATGTTTAGCTCCTCTCTGCATCGAGAGGTCTATCTATCACTGTTACACTGAAAAGCCTTAGAAAAGTGGAAGACTGACCAAACTATTACAAAGGTGAATCTTACTGTTTAAGAAAATAAAATGATGAAAACCTGCTTCTTTTTCTTTACAGAGTTCAAAAAAAAGTGTATAAAAAGGAATAGGATAATGAGTCTACAGATTTTTCTATAATTGCTATAATCCTTTTATGATACAGTTATTTAAATGACATAACATGGGGTTTTGGAGACAGACTTGGATTCAAAATTTATTTATTTCTCATCACTAAAAGACCCCGAAGAAGTTACATAACCTCACTGACCCTCAGCTTCTTCATCCATAATAAACAAAGACACGTAAGTAAAGTATCAAGCTCAGCAGGTGCTAGGTTCCCTCTCCTTACATGAGAAGCCATTTCTGAGGTTCCTCTGCCCAGGGCTGTGGACAGCAGGAGGCCGGGATGGGATCCCCTTGCTTATGCTATGGCTTCCTAACTGCTCAGGATAACCTTTTACTCACCTTCTGTCAAAATCTGTTTCAAGAAAGACTGTTTGAAAAAACTCCAAGTCAATTTAGCCTCTGTCCAATTTACAAAAGCCTAAAAGAGAAAACAAACAAAAATATCCCAGGCACTGCAAGTCTAAGAGTACATTAATGCTACAGGAGAGGCAAATTCATGTTGGTCCCTAAATCCCAACTTAGATAGTCCCCACTGCTTTTTCATTTAATGCTAAGCACACAGAGACATCCCACAAATAATGGCAAAGAATTTACATTCCTAAACACGAAGACAAAATCTCCAGGTAGAACAGTCCCCCTGTCCGACACACACCTGTAAGCGGCCTGCCCAGGATTCACGCACAAAGGCCAGACCCACTCCACCTCTCCAAAAGGCTAGCTGTAGCTACAGAAGTTAACGCAAGGAACCTGTCCCATGGGCCCCTCCTCTTGGCCCAAAGCCCACCCATTAGAAGAACGCTACCCAGTAGAAATATAATGCAGGACACATACATAATTTTAAATTTTCTAGCACCATAGTGAACAGTAAAAAAAAAAAGGTTAATTTTATATATAATAAGTTAATTTAAATATATTTAACCCAAAATATCATTTCATCACGTAAAAAAATATTAGAGGCATTTCACATTATTTTTTGTACTAAGTTTGAATCCAGTGTGTATTTTTCACTTAGAGCTCACCTCAATTCCAAATGCTCCATAGCCACACGTGGTGTTTACCACTTAGCACAGGGCAAGTCTAGAGTACCCTTTGAAATCAGGGGTCATTTCCAGTCCTCAAATGTCCTCACCCCTGGTTTCAGAGCCTTTCTTCCAGGCACTGCAAGGGCAGGCCTGACCCTCCCAAACTACACTTCCTCCAGGGCACCACTGGACCTGGAGCAGATGCCAGGGGCAGTTCTAGTTCAGGAGTAAATCTTCCCAGGGAGAAGGAAACTGGGTCTCTCCTTTCCCCAGAACAAAGAGCGCCAGACTCCCTACCACCACCAGGGGGCGCTGTGGGCCACATCATGTTTGGGGCAGTGATCCCGCTGATAGGAGCCTTGGGCAGGACACCTCTCACATTCCCCATGCCAGCTGATCCTCTGGGGGGCTCTCCCCAGCACGACCTGTGCTCTTTACAGGAAACAGTTACAGCTGGCCCACGAGGCTCTTCCGAAGCCTACTTGCTGGTAGATTGTGAATGGGAAGATGGCTGAGTTATTTTTAAAAATTTCTTTAGGAGAGTAAAATCTCTATATGATACCTTGTACTTCAGCATTTCTTTCTCCCAATGCCTTCAATTTAAACAGACCCATGCCCCAGCGAGTGGCTCAGTTCAGGGTACTTGCAGGAGGCAACCAATCGATGCTTCTCCCACATCGATGTTTCTCACCCTCTCGCATCCTTCCTTCCTCTCTCTCTCTAAAAAAATCAATGAGAACATGTCCTTGGATGAGGACTAAAAAAAAAAACAAATAAGTAAATTAACCCACGGTTCAGAAGGAATGGCTACACTGCTTACTATGTCCAAAATGCTCATTAAGAATAAAGAGACAGGAAGTCTGATTAGGTTTCTTCTCAGAGGTGTCTGCTAAGCAATAGAAAAGAAGTGCATTCTTTGGGCTTTTAGCATTCTGTTCAGAATAGATTTGTCACGTGGGACGGTCAAAAGAGGCCTATTTCACAAGAGGTAGGTTGGTACTTCTGAGCTGGTCTACAGGCTGTGAATTTCCCTGCAGTCCCCTGACCAACAAGCCATTCCACTGCCTCACTGCACTGATGGAGAAACTGATGGTGAAACGTGATGGGCAGTACCTCCAGGGAAGGTCTGGCACCAGAACTCTGGGGCTCACTCTGCTTTCATCTGAGTCACTCACCTCTGCCCACCCGTGTGTCAAGGCCCAGATCAAAAGCAGCTTCCTCCATGAAGCCTTCCTCGATGCTCCAAGATGGAATTTACCAGTTCTTCTCTGTGCCTCATTTTGTTAACACCAGATGCGCGCGCATACACACACACACACACACACACACACACACACACACACACACTGTCTGTCTGTCTTGCAGTGCAGTTAGCTGAGTACACATCTTAACTCCCTACCACAACGCAAGTTCTGAAGGCAGGAACCCTATTCAGGGCACCTAGTACAGTGATTAACACAGAATATTGCTAAATACATGCTTGCTGGGTTAAATTCCTCAGCTTTACTTAAATATTAGCAGACCTCCCCTATTAAATCACTCAGAAGTGTGGAGATTATAAAAGATATATATGGGCAGTCATTATTTGAGGATCATAATTTAAGACTTAGTAAGTACCTTTAAAAAGATGGAGTTCTATAAGAATTGGAAAGAAATCTCCCAACTTGGTCAAACTGAGTTTGACCAGTTTCATAGAAGGGAGCCCCCAAGTGCAGAAAGCTGCTCCAGAGAGTCGTTAGGCGTATTGCGAGTGGTAATGTCATCCACTGGATTAAAAATTCATCTTCTTTCTCATCTCTTTAAAAAAAACAACTTGAATACTGAATCCTTTTACCTGGAACTTCCAAACATTTAAGTAAATAACTAACTAATTGGGGCAGTAAGCCATTTCTTTTGCAAAACTACATAGCGTAGAGGTTAACACTGTGGAACTAGACAGAAGTTAGAGAGAAGTGGGTCCTAAACCAGCTGTGTGATTTGGGGTTAGTCACTTAACTTCTCTGAACCTGTTTTCTCCTCTGTAAAACTGAAGCAGTAGAATGTGTTTCACAGGACACTATGAGGATTACAGACAACCATGTGAAGTGCTCAGCACAGTGCCAGGCACATGCAGTTATGACACTTATTATACATCTGGCTCTTTGCCAAAGTGCCAATACGTTCACAGAATTCCTTAAGTCTTCAGAGGGGCCTCACAGCACATGCAGCCCAAAGACCTCACCTTTAACATAGGACTCGAGGTCTGCAGAGTCCTGCAGGCTTCGCCTCTGCAGGTACTGCCTCCCAAGGGCACAGGCAGCCTCTGAGGCCCAGCAATCACCGCCCTGTATGTCTGTATCCCGGCCAGCAGCCAGCAGGGGCTGTGTTGTTTGTCAGCAGGAACAGAGCCACGGTGTGTGACAGGTACACACAACCTTCTCGTGGCCAAGGCTCTGTCCCAGCAGTACGAGCATGGGTACTATAGGGACAGACTGCAGGTAACACCGCTGCGCTCTCATGCCAATGCCACCGCGTCTGCCTTGCGAGGACGTTTCAGTGGAGCTAGCGCTGCTCTCAGGGCAGCAGTGTGATGGTGATGATGGTATCAGCTGTCACTATGGTCACCCAGCGGGGCCAGGCCAGGTTAAACACCTTACATGCCCCATCTCATCTGACTCGCACAACCACGTTAGGAGGGATGGACTCATCGCCATTTGACAGGTAAGGAAATGAAACTTGGAGTTCTGAGCCCATCACAGGGTTAGTTACACACCTGACAGACTCATTACCCTCTCCTGTCTGTATTAATGGTCCAAATACTCCTTCCCAAAATACTGCCAGGGGCAGGGGCTGGCCCAGTGGTTCAGCTGGCCAGGCCGGGACAGGTGGGCCCCAGGGAGCCTCAGGGAGGGACTTTCCTGCATGCTCAGTCCCACTGGGCAGGTGGCAGAATGAGGCACTGTGGTATCCCCAAATTACCAGGTTGATTTAGATTAAAGGTAAGATCTAGTAGATCAGAATGGAGAACTCTTATCTAGCAAATCAGAACATATCTGGCTTTTCTTGAAAAGTTGTAGAGCAAGATTCCCTAAGTTCTGAGACTAAAGTCTCAAATATTTTACAGCTTTTTAAAGTAGCCCAGCCGGTGTGGCTCAATGGCTGAGCATTGACCTATGAACCAGAAGGTCACAGTTCAATTCCCATCAGGGCACATGCTCTGGTTGTGGGCTGATCCTGCAGGAGGCAGCCGATCAATGATTCTCTCTCATCATTGATGTTTCTATCTCTCTTCCCTTCTTCTCTGAAGTCAATAAAATTTTAAAAAATAATAAAGTAATCACAAAAGAGAAGTCCGGTTAAAGCCTTACCTCAACTAAGCGCACCACATCTAGCCAGCCACCAGGCGGGGGAAGAAAGAAGGAGGCCAGCCCGGAACAGAGCGGGACACGAAGCAACTGCGCAGAGGCGGTGCAGTATGGCATCACCCTGCAGCTCCAGGCCACAGGCAGCAGCACCGACCCAGAGTCAGGAAATGAAGGTCAGATGGACCAAGAGTTGAAGAGTTGAGTAGAAAAAGATTATGCTTGGCTCCCACACATTAGCATCCTCAGAGGATGACATGGGAAAGTGGGTCACCTGAGAGAGGCCTGACACTCGCTGAGGGACTACGCAGGGGCTGTCCCTGCTTTCTCAGCACTCTGGAATGTCTGTGCCAGAGGCCAGCTCTGGGGAAAACCAAGCGACAGCAGGACAGAGTGGAACACAGTGGTTATAGCTTGTGGTCTGCTGGGATCCACGCCACTCCAGGCGACTGTCCTCGCTCTGACCTTCACCTTGGGCAGGTGTTTAGTCACTAAGCCTCAGTTCCTCAACCGTAAAATATAAACAACAGTGTCCGCCTCACAGAGTTGTTATACCTAAAGGCATGTAGAGTACTCGGCATAGGACCTAGCACATGGGTTCTCAACTGGGGACAACTTTTGTCTCCGAGGGGACGTTTGGCAGTGTCTGTGGTTGTTATAACTGGGGGGTGGTAACTACTAGCATCTAGTGGGTAAGAACTGAGAATGTGCCTGGCCAGTGTGGCCCAGTGGTTGAGTGTCAATCTATGAACCAGGAGATCACTGTTCCATTCCTGGTCAGGGCACATGCCTAGGTTGCTGGCTCAATTACCAGTAGGGTGTGTGTGTGTGTGTGTGTGTGTGTGCAGGAGGCAGCCAATTGATGATTCTTTCTCATTATTGATGTTTCTATCTCTCTCTCCCCCTCTCCCTTCCTCTCTAAAATCAATAAAAAATAAATTAAATTAAAAATAAATCAAGAATGCAGAGGACAGCTCCTAAACAAAGAATTATCCAGTCCAAAATGTCAATACTGCCAAGATTTAAAATCCCTGGCTGAACACATAGCAAGCACTCAAAAGATATGAGCTACTGAATTACCTTTACTATTCTAATAATAATAAACAATTAAGTTATAGTTTCTTTCCCTCAAGGATAACCAGCATCTGTGATTAAAATGATAAGAGACAAAAATATATTACTTACTCTACTTCTCAAAATACTGGGTAGCAGATCTGTCATTCTGGAGACAGGAAGAGTTTGTTGCTTGGTTGATTTTGGGAAACCCAGTAACTTTTTGAAATAAGTAACATAGCAGAGCACCAGAACTGTAGTATAGAAAACCTGGGGGGAAAAGAAAAGAATGGGCTTAAATTGCACTGTTTTAATATAGTCCTAATTAAGATATGCTATAAATTTGACCTCAAAGGTCAATCAAGAAACAGAACAGTCTTAATTAAGTTCATCTTCTGGTGTATCCACTGAGACCCAGCAGCCGCGGCATCACCGGGGAAAGTGTTCCACGCACTTCACCTGACTGGGCAAGCAGAACACAACTTCCAGACAGACATCCACTAGCGCCAACTGCCACACCAATGTCAGACACGTTCTCGAAGGCTTTGCATTTGGCCAAAAAGCGGCTCTCCCGCCTGACAGCACACTGTGAGGATCCATGTGTCCTGTCTGGGCACATACAGGCACTGGGGAATTTCCATAGACCCCGGAAACCTGTCACATTATGATGACAAGGCAGAACTGAGCTGCTGGGTCTCCCCTCTCTGCCCAGTGCGTGGGCAGGGCAAGAGCTGCTAGAGCAGTGGTTCTCAACCTTGGCTGCACATTAGAATCACCTGGGAATCTTTTTAAAGTCCTGATTTCTGGGCCCCATCCTCCAGAAATTCTGTTTCTTTGTTATGGGGTGAGGCCACAACATTAGTAACAAAGAAAACAGAATTTCCGGAGGATGAGGCCCAGAAATCAGGATTTTAAAAAGATTCCCAGGTGATTCCAATGTGCAGCCGAGGTTGAGAACCACTGTGCTAGAGGATGAGGAGGGAAAGGTGGGATGATAAGAGAGCCCACACACCTGGGACGAAGGATGGCTTTTGGCCAGGAGCAGCAGCCTGGGGTTTATTTGCAGATTGGGGAGGAATATTCAAAGTGGCCCCTTTTGCAAGCTCTCTTCTCTCCTCTTCCCCCTGAAAAGAGCTCAAGAAAAAATGGGGCCTCCAGGCCTCCTTTCAATCTGGAAACACTTGTAAGAAAGGCACAGAGCAAGGACAAAGAGGAGTCTCCAGTTAGCTCCTCTGCTACCCACGCCTGCCCCATCCATGCCTGAGAACACAGCCCACCATCCACTACCCTTTTTTTTCAGTTTTATTGAGAAATAATGGACATACATCACTGTATAAGTCTTACAGCATGATAGTCTGATTTACACATATTGTGAAATAATTACCACAATAGGTTCAGCTAGCATCCACCTTTTCATATAGACACAATAAAAAGAAAAGGAAACAAAATTTCTCCTTGTGATGGGAACTCACAGAATTTACTCTCTTAATAACTTTCCTATCTATCATACAGCAGTGTTAGCTATAGTCATCATGTTGGACATGGCACACCTAGTTCCTATTTATGTGATAACTGGAAGTTTGTACCCTTTGACCACCTTCCAATTCCCCCATCCTTCTTCCTTCATGCTGCAAGCCAGCCTAAGACACAGCAGCACTGCTGTGCGCCACACCCCCTGCTGCCAACATCCTGAGATAAGTACCCTTTTCCAGCTCCCTTCCCCGCCTCGCTTCATCTTCCCACTGAGCAAGCCTGGGGAAACAATAACCACCTATGGCAGGTCTTCATGCAGCGTATCCTAACTACATGATCCCTCCCCTTTATTTCCATTGAGGAAAATTCACGTAACCTAACACTGACTGTTTTAAGCATTTTAAAGCATACAATTCAGTGGCTTTTAGTACATTCACAGCGTTGTATAACCACCATCACTATCTAACTCCAAAAGGAAACTCTGTGCCCATTAAGCACTCACTCTCCATTCCCCCCAGCCCCTGGCAACCACTAATCTCTTTGCCTCTGGACTTTATTCTGGGTAATATATTAATGGAATCACACAGTAGGTGGCCTTCTGTGTCTGGCTTCTTCTGCTTAGGATAACGTTTTGAGAGTTCACCGTGTGTTTTATTTTTATGGCTGGACAATATTTTATTGTATGGATACACCACATTTTGTTTACCCATTCATCAGTTGGGCATTTTGGGTGCTTCCGCCTTACAGCTATTGGGAATAGTGTTGCTATGAACATCCGTGTACTAGTTGTTTGTACACCTGTTTTTAATTCTTTGGGGTATAAACCTAGAAATGGAATTGAGGGGTCTTTTGGTAGTTCTACATTTAACTTTTTAAAAACATATATTTTTATTGATTTCAGAGCAGAAGGGAGAGGGTGAGATAGAAACATCAATTATGAGAAAGTATCATTGATCAGCTGTCTCCTGCATAACCCACACTAGGGATTGAGCCCCCACCCCAGGCATGTGCCCTGACCGGGAATCGAACCACGACCTCCTGGTTTATAGGTCGACATTCAACCATTGAGCCGTGCAGGCCAAGCTACATTAGACTTTTTGAGGCATTGCCAAACTGCTTTACACAGCGGCTGCCCCATTTCACTTTACCACCAGCAACTTATGGGGGGTTCCGATTTCTTCATATCCCCACCAACACTTGTTATTTTCTGTATTCTTTTGATAATAGCCATCCTAATGGGTGTAAAGTGGCATCGCATTGTGGTTTTGATTTACATTTGCCTAATGACTAATGATGTTGTGTATTGTCTCATGGGCTTTTTGGCCATTTATTTGTCTATCTTCTTTGGTGAAATGGCTATTCAAGTCCTTTACCCACTTTCGGTGGTTTGTCTATTTGTTGTTGAGCTATAAGAATTCTTTATAGACGGAGGAGCAGTGTACCAGAGGGAAACTCAACATTCTCCTGAATTCCGGGCGGGCCAATAAGAAGAGTAGAAGATCTGAAGCACCTGCATTACTGCACATTTTTATTTTTATTTTTTTAAATTACTTTTTCTCCTTTTAACTAAGAAAACATTTTTTTTCTGTTTTTCTTTTTTCTTTTTCTCCATCACCTGATTTTGCCCTTTCAGCTACTACATTTTTATTTTTAACTAGTATTTTTACCGCTACCATTTTACCATTCTTTTAAGTGTCATTTTATTTTGTCTTTATTTTATTTTGGGACTAATGTTCTCCATTCTATTTTCATCGTTCCTTTAGCAACATTGTTCTCTACCTCAATTTGCCTCTGTGCTAAACAATCTTCCCCACTTTTTCCCTTTTGCTGTCCTGTTTCTCTTACCCTACTCCAGCTTTTGATTTTCCCTATTCTTTTAA